CACAGTAAACATAATTTCAGTATAATTACTTTGTTGGTGAATTGAATATTGAATTGATTGTTAGTAGATTGAATATCAGTGAATTGAGTGTTGGTGAATTGAGCTTGTTGGTGAATTGAGCTATCAGTGAGTTAAGTATCAGTAAATCAATTGTCAATAAATTGTGTATCAGTAAATTAAGTGTTAGTGAAATAAACATGTCAGTGAAACATTGTAGGCAAAATGCTATGTCTATAAATTAAGTATTGGTAAAATGAAGCAAACCTAAAAAAAAGTCAAATGTGAAGAACTTATATTTTATGTATCTAGATAACAAAAAAGTAAGTAAATTGGTAGAATTAGCATTCAATTTGTACTATTATTTACTGTAAAAAAAAATGTATGTAAATAATTTACAACCTACAGTTAGATCTCTCTAAGTGCATATCATTAAAATCACACTTTAACAATATACATTTAAAGAATAATAAGAAAAGTGCATTTATAGATATCAAGAATATATTTGGGTCAGATTCTGAGTGTTTATTTAGAAGGTGTATATATTTATAGAAGAATTTAAGTCAATTATTTTCCGACATAATGAACTAGTTGGTTGGGATTTTTTGTTAATAGTTTGTTGCAATGCTTCAAGAATAATTAAATGTTCACAGAGTAAAATTTGAAAGTTATTGATAATTTGATAAGTTACTGGACAAGATAATTCTGTAGCGACAATATCTGAAATTAAATCATCACTTGGAGTTATAGTATGAGGCAATGTTGATCCATATATTGTAATAGCCGTTTCTTCTCTTTTAAATTACTTATTATTTTTTGTTAGTGTCTATTAATTTTTCATCCTGTAAAACTTTTATACGAATTACTTCTATCATATGAAATAACTTTAATCCATCTACCGAATCTGAAGAGTATTTATATTATTTAAAATCATTTTTAATAATATTGTAAAGTAGCATATTCTTATTGATATTTAATTAGAACTTCTATAGCCTTGAAACGAATAAAAGATGAAGGTGCCTTTTGCAAAGATTCTAATGCTAAATAATAACAAATGACTAATGTCAAATCTTTTTGAGTTTTTGTAATTAAATCTTGTACAATATCAAGAGCTCCAAATGATAAAGAATGTGGAAATGCAAGTAGTTAGTTACCTAAAAGATTATTAATAAAATGCTTTTGATTTATAAGCTACTCTGATTGAGTATTGGATTTGGCCAGCTTCTGGCTTATAAACTACTTTGATTGAGATATTGGATTGACCAACTTTTTGACACACTATGCCATAAACATTCAAGTAATAGATTTTTGTCATAATTTAAAGAAAGTAAACATTCTTGAATAAAATTTTAATATTAAAGTGCAGTTCAAAGTAGTGTTCTCCATTCATAATATCATGGAGAGATTGGTTACTTCCAATTAAAAGCTTCTTGTAAGTATTTAAACAGTAATTCTACACATTTTCTTTAGATAAATCTGCATCATGTGAAATTCCTGTTTTTACAAATCCTGAATCAATAACTAATTAGCTGGAGATGAGGAGAGCGAGGCGAAAGTCTTCAAGCCTTACTCTATTGAATTTTAAGAATGTTCAGCTCCTGCTTCACTTGACCCAAATTTAGGATCAAAAAAACAGAGTTGAACCTAAATTAGGTTCAAAATTTGGATACCGAAATTTTGATTTAAAATATGTAGCTGATTTTAATAGAATATATTAACTGGCTTTTAATAAGATCAGTTGGAAAATAAGAATTATTCTATAACTATTTCATTGCCTTACTCTACTGTATTTTAGAAAATTTCCGGCTCCACTTCACTTGATCCAAATTTTAGGTTCAAAATAACCAGAATTAAACCTAAATTAGGTTCAATGTTTGGATACTGAAAACTTGGTTAAATATTGTAACTGACTTTTAGTAGAATATATTAACTGACTTTGAATAAGAATAGTTTATCAGTTGGTAAATCAGAATTACTTTATATCAATTATCATAATAAATATCATCATAAATATGTTATCATATTGAAACCTTACTTTACTGGATTTTAGAAAATGTCCGGCTCCAGCTTCACTTGATCCAAATTTAAATTCAAAATAACCCGAATTGAACCTAAATTAGTTTCAACTTTCGCCAAAAAAAAAAATTAAAATGGTGAAATGGTGTAAGGTGCCGAAATTGGTAAACTGGTGAAACATGTGAAACTGCTAAAAGGTAGCAAAACTAGAAAAAGATAGTAAAACTAGTGAAAGATAGTAAAATTAATAAAACAAGGCAAAAATAAAAAGTTAATTAAAGATAATTAAAGCCTTTTTATATAATAATTATTTTTATTTATATATTTATATTTATATAATATTATATATTGTGGATTGATATTTATACACCCATTTTTTTGATATCTGTATTTCCTATCAAACAAAAAGAGCTCCAAAATAGATATTATTATTAAGTAAACCTTTTTAGTAGTCTTAAGTAAAGTTGATTCTTATACTTTTTTAATTCTAATAGCAGCAAAATTAATAAAATTGAATTGGTAGTTCTTATTTAAAGTTAACTAATATATTATTCATATTAGATTTGCTAAAATATATATTTTTTACAATAAAAATTGGTAATATTATTATAGACAATTTCTATTTATAAATTCACAGATATATATATAGAAAGCCATTCAGGTTACACAATCAGTTGTAACGTAAAATTATTGTTTTCTTTAAAAAAACCATTTATAACTAAACTTTTGCTTATTCAACCACCTTTTGGGTACTAATAAAAAAAAATTCCTTGTGAAATTTTTGTATAAATTGTCGCGGATGATCGTGAAATCGGATGATGGTGAAATTTAGGGGTCACAATTAGAAAATATAAGCTCTACCAAAATCTACCTAACACTTTTACTAATAACTCCAACCCTAAATCCTAACTTAATTATAAAAAAAAAATCGACAAATAAGGCCCCAAAATTTTTAAAAATCGTACATAAAATAGATCCAAATTTCACCACCATTTCATGATCATCTGTAATATAAAATAACCCCGTCCCTATCCCAAGCCTGCTCTTACTCTAATTTTAGGCTACGCTTAATTTTTAATTTTATGTAAATTTGTTTTTATTTACACATTACACGGAGTTGCAAATTAATTTAGAGCTAGATAAATTAAAACATCATAAATAATTGCCAGTAATATTAGTGTTAACAACCACATACGTATGTATAGTATTTAATTAAAATTTTTAACAATGAAATAGTAAAAAGAAAAATTCTCAACAATCTAAGGCCATTCAAACTCACCAACTGGCCTCTCATTACCCGCCAACCCGGTTCTTAATTTTTTTTTTAAAGAAATTCTTATAATAAAAAAATCTTATTTATGAATTTTATTATCTCACACCAGGTACCTGGTAAAAAATTTCATATGTAAAAATCTTTTAATAAAGCAATACAAACTTATATTATCGGTCTTCATAACTTTAGTGACCGATGACAGGTTTTAAATTTTTTTTTTAAAAAAAATATTTTTAATAAAAATTTTTATTGACACTCAGCAAGAATACCTGGTAAAATGATTTTATATTCTAAAGAATTATTTAATAATCACGTACATATGAACAGATGTGTATTTTTACTGGGCATGAAAAGTGTCCTATCAATTCACAAAATTGAAACCATTTTGTGTCTAAAGTAAAAAATTAGGTATGTAGCTGTGTGACGTAATTGTGCTTAAGCAAAGAATGTGGCATGATCGCTAGATTCGTATTAAGGATCCATCTTATACAATCTATTTCAAAGTATCATTAATACTGTCAATTGATTAAACTTGTGGTATATCTATAAATGAAATCATGTAATTAAATCAATTACTACATGTGCTATGTAGCCTACGCATCTTGCGCATGAAATACACATTACTCCTGTAAAAATTTTTTTGAAAAACATACCCGGCTTTTTTCAGATTATCGTTCCATTATCGTTCCGGAAAATGCTCATTTTTCGAAACAAAATTTCCATAGAATCCCAGTAATTTTCGTGTACAAATCAAATGCGGGTAAGATTCAGCTCCTAATCTTTTGTACTTTATTATAATTAGAAGCTGGGATTTGATTTTTGCCTGGGATTTATTAGGATTCTATGGAAATGACCAAGAATTTATGTGTTTTTTTCCGAAAATGAGCATTTTCCGGATTGATAATAGAACGATAGTCTGGAGAAGGCTGGGATACATTTTTCGAAAAATTTTTATAGGGATGATCACCACCTATATAATAAAATATATTATAGCATAAGGTTAGGATCATTTTTCACTTATAACACTTAAATAGTTATATTAATAAAATTTTGCAGTATAGCTTTTTAAAGTTTATATTTTCTTATGATGTATTGTACAAAAATTGATTTATGAAGATTTTTGTTTTTGTCAATTTGGGCCCTTTTCTCAGCACCTAGCCCAGATAATGGTGGTATATGATGTAAAATTGCTCAAGAAAGACTTGTTAAAGCATCAAAGGTAGTTTTTATAGTCACAGACGATATATGGACACGTAATTACATGATTTTACACGTGATCTCGAAAGAAGACAAAAGAATTTTGTAAAATCTCTGGATTAGATGGTCTTTATTAGTTATGATGGGTACTTATCTTACTTATCTCTCTCGAATACATGAAATCGATAGGTTTATATACATTATGAATAGTTTTGCTACCATGATTTAGATTTTACAAGCAAATATGACTTTTTAGAGTATCGGGGAGTGGTAATCTATTATTAACAATGAGTAATTCACACTCAATTACATTACTACGACTTTAGTTCCATCGTTAGAATACCAGAAGTGTCTTATTATTGTTTTCAATAAAGCATCGCCTCGAGCCAAGCCGAATTAGAAATGCGCATTTAAATTCCCGAGTCATATGGCTGTGGGTCACGTTTTCAGGTCATATTTCCCCGTTCCAACGTAACTAACTAATACAAAGACCACTTAACATATTTTTATAGATTCTTTATATACCAACAAGATGTATTTCAAATGGACTGTTATTGAGAATAAATTCTATTGGTTGAGCAAAAGCCGAATCAGTGAATCCACTTTTATCACGTCCAGTGTGTATGCCAATTAAATATACTGAATCCAATTGTGAAAAATAAACTACAGGCCCTCCGCTATCACCTCCACCTGTGTTGATGTCTGTAACGATCAAGTCAGTTGTAACACTATCTTCATCTATCATAATCCCATTGAACGCTCTTGTATTCCCACAAGAAAAACCAGTAGTTTGACCAGATTTACATAAATGAATACCATGGCTAGATATACTTGTGTAGTCGATTATAAATAATTCTTGGTATTGTTTATAATCTGTATTCTTAACTAAATTCGCAAGTAGTTTAATCTCATTACCCGTTACTTTGATTAAACCAAAATCATATGGTTCTAAACTATGAAATGCAAATTTTCCAATTAATTTTAAACTATCATTCGTTTCCTTATTCCTTGGGTAATAATAAAATTCAGATTTTTCGAAACAATGTCCCGAAGTTACAATATAATCTTCATCTGTTGAACTTTTTACCCAAGGACCCACTGAACATGAAAAATTATCAATTTTATTATATATACCATCTCCACTTAAGACCCCTACAGCTAAATCACGAATACCGACTTTACTTTGATGTTTAGAAATATTTAAACTATGTGACTCGTGTAATTCCTCTTTATCTGTTAAATAATGTACAATCGGTTCATATTTTTCGATAGATTCTAAAAATTCCTCAGTGTTATTATCGAACAAAATTACAACGTTATTATTAGCCTTTATATCAGTGTAAAATTTCATAATTAGTGTACTATCGTTATTTTTCCTATATTCTAAAGCAAGTTGTCTTATCTGATCAAATGAGGACCTTAATTCACGAAGGGATTTTTCTGCATTTTTAAAAGATAAAAGCTTTTTATATTTTCTCATTTGTTGTGAATATTTTATATAATCAATCTTACTAGGATCTATTGTTTGGACAATTATACGTTGCTTTTCTATATTTATGTAAGATCCTCCAAAGCTCTTGTCATTTTTATCTAATAATGGTTTTAAAATTCCATCCGCCCTTATTAATATTTTCTCGATTTCCAATATTTTAGACACTTCATCATCTACATCCCATAATTTTGCTAAAGGATGTTGATAATCTCTCGAGTAACTTTGTAATGTAAAAATAAATAGCAATAAAGATAAATTTATAAAAGTGGAAGTATATCTCATTATTAACGATATTCAAAAACTTTTATATTAATGGTGCAGAAAAAAGCTTGATATTGTGGGTATAAGAAAGTGGAATAGTAAAATAGTAATAGGTTTATTGCAATAGGTTTATTGCATTTACGCGTTAAAAGGACTTAATTGCTTTGAAATTACGAAAGAGGAGAACGAACTTTTTTTAACGGATGAATTCTGTGACTATTTATGGCTTGATTTTTTTTTTTTTTTTTGAATTAGAAGTCATTATACTAAAATCCCTAGCTACTTTTCCACATACTTTTCATGACTTTCAGTTACACAAACATGCCGAACATACGCGTTTCCTAGAATTAAATATACAATAATCGAATATAACCAATAGATCTTTTTCATTCGTAATATGAAGCCTTTTCTTTGCAAATTATCCCGACATTTCCGATCGGGCAAAAACTAACTTAAGTCCTAGTTCATGTTTATGTGTAAATCATTACTTTTTTGATTAATAGTTTATTCAATAAAAGTAAAAGATGATTTACACATAAACCGGGACTTAAGTTTGTTTTTGTCCAAATTTGCCCAAAAGACTATCACATTAACCTGATCTACATTTTTTTTGTGAGTGCGCTATCTAAAACCCTTCAGACGGCCTTTATATGATCGCCAATCATACGAAAATCTTAAAATTTCCTTAAATTCTTCATATTTTTTAAAAAATTATCACACAAAAAAGTCACAATTCTAGAGTTTCAATCCTATCCATATCTGAATTTAATCAGATATACGTTTACTATTGATATCCTCATAATATGGATATACGGTTAATGGATTGGAGCTCTACACAATTCCAAAGATTTATTATCAAATTCCAATTCTTTAGCATAACATCCATTACTGTTACTTTGTTTAGCCAAGTCGTTATAAAAACTTTCCAGTTTTTTTTTTACATTTTCCTTATGTACTTTTAGATCGCTAAATAAATAAATGTCGTGGCTGATGCTGAAATTGCTGATGCTGAAATCTAGGGCCTGGATTTGAAAATATAAGCCCTGCCAGAATCCACATATACTCTTTAATTGTCAATTCTATCCCTAAATCCTAACCCAACCCTAAAAAAAAGGCGGGGAAAACATCCCAAAAAATTTTTAAAAATTCATAACAAAATAGGTCCGAAATTCAGCATCAGCGACAATAAATAAGGCAGCTGCGAGATGCATTAAAAGCTAGGAACGTAAACAACAATATTCTAAGAATAGATATTAAAAATTTAACGAAGTGTATGGTTATATTGCAAATTAAATGGTGTAATCCTGCATTTTGTTTGATAATACTGTAATATATGTGGCAAAGTAGGGATGTGAATGCATATCAGGAATTTCACACATAGTACCATCATAGGGCATATGTAATACTTTCTTCTGTATACAGGCACAATTTGATCCACGCCTGAGTTTATATGAATCCATATTTACTGCTTTTCTCATAATCTGTTTCATAATTAAGTTTTAAAATTCTTATATTCAAATGTTGAAACGAATGATAGTAAAAGCATGATTTTCAGACATAAATATTAGTGGCCCGATTCAAAGTTTCATATCTATTCACGGGATATTTGGCATTGTATATAGGATTTATTATCACTGATTAGAGGTTGGAAACCGGTTTTACCATATGAGCATAAAGAACTCTGATTATAAAAGAAGGATTACGTTTCATAGATACGACGTTAGTGCCCACGACCTGATTAATACATAAGTATTTCTCCAATTATTTCAATAAGTGTTTCAATAAGTGTAGTGACAAGTTATTATGTTTACGTATCTTATTATTCGTATTGATTTAATCAATGCAGAAAATTTCTTATTCAATTTTTTTATATGTTGATCAATCGAATTTTCAAAGATAGGTTTACACTTAATTTGTTTACATTCAATTTTTTGTATTGATTTAATTGCTATTTCAATCGATTATTCAAAGGTAAGCTAACACTTATTTAATGACACCGAGGGAAAACAAAACTTAGTCCATATAAAAGTTATATGATCGAAGTCCGGATTTTTCTTGGCGTCATTCATATATTATTTACTTCTCATTTAATTTATAATACTATAATTATAAGATATTGGTCATATGATGAAAAATAACAGGACATTTTTTTCATCGGAGTTAATTTCACTTCTATGTGCTGCGTAGGAGCACATGAGTGACATTATTAACTCACGATGTTTTTCCCTTATATTTTGACAAAGGATGATGTCATTTCGTCACAAAAATATCAAGGCCAAAAAAATTCGCATGATCATCTAAAATGAACAATAATTTACTAATCATTTTCATTTAATTTGTATTAAAATTAGTCTACTGTATAATAAGATGATTTTATTATGTGACTGTATAATAAGATTAGATGAGGCCATCTTGATTCTGTATTTTACATTACTCCCTCAGTAAAAAAATTTAGATAAATATATGTAGGGCTTCGGGTTATTTCAGAAGATTTTTATATAGTCACGGAACAATTCGGAAATATTTTTTCGAAAAAAAATTTTTTTTAAATTTTACTATGTAAACCACAATCCCCCCAATGTAAAACACAGATCAAGTTGGTCTCATCTTATTTTATTATGTGACTGTATAATAAGATTGTTTTATTATGTGAGCATTAGAGATCAACTAAAATAATCTATTCAGGCTCATAGATATTTACTGTAGAGGTGGAAACAACAATTATACGACAAGTTTCTTTTACCAGAGCTAATGTTACTTGCACAGTAGCAGCACATGGGAGTGACGTTAACTTCATTGAAAAAAATGGAAATAGATATTTTCTTTCATTTACCAATATTGTGCGCTTAGATAATTACTTGACGGATATATCATATGGGGTCTTTGCCTTGAAAATCAAATTTATGACATATGATTTACTATGTCCCATGACTTGATTTTCAAGGCAA